GCTTTGAAGTGGGTTACCTGAATCCACACACAGATACTGTGGGATTTTCTTCCTGATATTCTGGGATATAGGGCTGTGTGGAAGGGCCCTTGGACTGACCCACTACTGGTATGTATGTAGTGATGGACTGGTTAGCAATGCAAGCCAAAATAGATTCCCTGGACAAGAAATTTTAGTATGAGATGATGTTTATATATATATGTTTAGGCCCTCACTAAGTGACAGTCTGCAGCTTCCATTCCAAGGGTTCAGTGACTGTGCCCTGAACCTGAAGTTTTAATCCCTAAAATTGGTTTAGCACTTTGGATAGTTCACCAGAAGCCTTTAATAAAACCAGAAACATATTCACCACATTCCTGATGTGGAAGTTGCAATTCTGCCTACTTTAGAAAGCCATCTTCCTCATCACACAAGTGGAGCTGTTTCATGTACTTATGTCTATGTACCTATTCACACTGCACAATCTATCTACAGTGTGTGTAATGGGGACATAGACAAGTGAAATTTCATAAGTCATTGGGGAACAAATTTATCTTATTGGTGTGTTGGCTGACATTTTTAGTTATATTCCTAGTTACTAAAGTAACTAAAAAATCCTAGTTACTAGTTTTTTAGTTACTTTTAAAAGCTACCTTCAAGGGACATTTCTTAGAAATTTTCACAGAAATCTACCAAGTTCTGAATTTCCTTGATTGTGGTGGCATTAGAATACAGATACTGTGTACACTGGGAGACAAAGAACATATAAAGTGCACTGCACCACTGTGGTGTAATGGATACAATAGTTTTCCTCAACATGGTGTCTTTCCAGATTTGTTGAATTACAACTCCTGACATCCCCAACCATATATACAGGCCTACATATTTAAGCCTGTAAATATGCAGGCTTAAATCTCTATCCAGTCATCAATTTCACAAGATGCTAAGCTTCATAATATTTTAGGATTTTCCAGTTTGGGAAGGGAAGCGAGCCAGTGTGGTGTAGTGGTTTGAGTATTGGACTACAACACTGGAGACCAGGGTGTGAATTGTTGATTGGCCATGAAAACACACTGGTTAACCCTAGGCAAGTCACACACTCTTACCCTCAGAAAACCCTTAAGGGTTTTCAAAATGACTTGAAGGCACATAACAACAACAAAAGGGAAGAAGAAAGAAGCTATTTACTACCTAAGAACTAATAAGGTATCATGGGAGATGAATCAATATGAAATAAACAAGTGAAACAGGCAAATAATCTGCACATGAAGTATTGGGATAAGAAAGGATTCATTTGGTAACTAGTTAGGTGACATACATACCTACAATTTACTTAGTATTTACACCTAGAGTAGACCTACAGAGTTGAAAGGTGAGTGGCAAGTCGATGTCATCAAGTAAACATCATTGCTACTTGGGCCCCTTAATTAGATTTAGGTACCATAGTTTACTAAGATTTCCAGGACAGGGGTAAAATTATTGCATATAAATAAGATGGAGTGGACATGGTATCACCCAGCTTACATTTGTCTATCTATAATGTATTTGAGATTTCAAATCAACAAAAGAAATGTTCATTTTCCCACTTGGACTGGCTAAATTTCAGTTTGGGATGAATGTATGTACTCTACAGAAGTTCTACATGCAATAAATACGCAGGGTGACAGCTATCAACAGGCTTGCTCATGTGAGTCAACTTAGATGCATAAATTGCAGGAGTAAGCTGCAATTGTGATCATTGTGTTTTTTGGGGGAAAATATCCACAGCTACATTATTGAAACAAAATACTTGATAAATAAATAGCAAGTACCATAATTTACAGTTGGCATTTAATCTCCAAATCTGGATAGAAAGATTAGGCAGACTCAAGTTCAAGGGAACACAAAGCTGGAGGTAAACATCACTTCCCCTGTGGTGTATGTGTATGGTGCAAATTTCCTCATTCTCACTTCTGATCAAACAAGACGTAATGCTTTTGGAATATGAACTTATTCATCACAAAAGAACATTGGCCGAATCCGTATGCCAAGAAGAGTGATCGTTCTTGCAAAATGTATGTGGCTTTTTGGAAACAAATATATATTCAGCTGAAGTTTATGTTGACACATCAGCTTCAATGTTACTGAGATGTATGCTAATTTTTATAAAAGAACATGGGGCACTATTACTAACATAGGTTGCAATCCTATATGCATTTATATGTAGGTAAGTACTGATTCAGATAGATCAAAGGAATACTGCATGCCTGGGTGGAGAAATGGATTGTGGCTTTTTGTATTCTTCTTGAGTGTTTAAATGGCCTAATGTTTCTTAATCTGTAGGTCCCCAGATGTTTTGGCCTTCAACTCCCAGAAATCCTAACAGGTGGTAAACTAGCTGAGATTTCTGGGAGTTGTTGCCCAAAATACCTGGGGACCCACAGGTTGAGAACCACTGAAATAGTCACACATAGGCCCCATTCATAGGCTTGAGTCCAATGGTTGATGCATATTCCAGCAGGTGAAAAATCAGGGTAGATCACATATACAGGACAGTATCTACATTTTCTAATCGGGGGGAAATTGCATGCATGATGTATTTTCCAAGGAACACGAATGAAGAAGTTCTTGTTCATGTGTATCTCTGGGTGAGCACTTCTGACTTCACATGCACATTTGAGTCAAGGCATCAGGACTTTTATAACCAACTTGCCTTGAAATACATAAGAACTCTTGGTTGCAGTGCACACAACTTTGTATACAATTGCGGCTCTCTAGCTGATCCTATGCATGTTTATACAGTGATGCATGTACATCGCTGAAGAGGTGTGTATTATTTCCATCCTTGTTCTCCCTCAGAAAAAAGCATAAGATTCAGATATTCCATGTGAAAATTCATGATGGCTCTATTTGCATAACCTTCCCATTCTTTTCTTGAGAAGGAAAAAAAAAATGCCATCTGAGCCAATATACGTATATAGAATCCTCTCTATGATGTACGAGGATTGAATGAAAAGTAATGCCTCCACCTTCGTAACCCCTCAACAGATGGCAGTACTGGTATGAGGCAGGTACTGGCTTGTTCAGTAGATTCGTTCCATTTTGGCAGGAAGCCTTAGCATTGAACGGTTGTGTTGTTAAAGTGCAAAGTATGGAACCCTGCACAGACGGTCGGTCAATGTGACCTAAGCAAAGTGCAGTTATTGAATATTTGACAGCAGAAGGTGTCACCCCATGAGATTCATCAGAGAATGCAAGCTGTTTATGGTGAGGTGGGAACATCTAAAATTTCTCTCTGAGTGACACGATGATCATCCTGAATCAATCTGTCAACCTTTTGCTTGTGAAACTTGGTGGTTGCTGTCACAGGATGTCCAACTCTTTGTTTGTCATGCAAGTCAGATGTTCCCACCTCAACATCTTTAAACTTACTCACCCAATGACGCACAGTACTCACCATAAACAGCTTGCATTCTCTGATGAATCTCCTTTGGGGTGACACCTTCTACTGTCAAGATTTCAAGTCAAGTGTGAAGTAGGGTTCCATACTTTGCACTTTAACAACACAACCATTCAATGCTAAGGCTTCCCGCCAAAATGGAACTGTAGAGGAGAGTCTACTGAACAAGCCAGTATCTGCCGCATACCAGTACTGCCATCTATTGAGGACTTACGAAGATGGGGGCATTACTTTTCATTCTATCCTCGTACTCACCTCATATACTGCTTTAAATGAAAGGATGGAACATAGGCTTTTCTATCATTTGCCATGTCTGTCCCCATTTCCTGCTCCACCATGTGAACTAACTCTTTTGTGATTAAATGTATTTGAGCTTAACATCACTTTTACTGAGTTCAGTGGGACCAACACTCAAATAAGCACAGATAGGATTGCAACATTAAATGAACAAGAAAGAGCACTAATAGAAACAGTATTCCTTTGGTGTTTGATAATAATCTAAATAAATCCATGAGATGCAAAATACCTTCCTACTTATAATAAAAGTCATGACTGTTAATAGAAAACTACAACATAATTTTTAACAATTATACGTTCTTTTCAGAACACTATGCTACATTTGTTTGCAAACTTGATAGAGTTCTAGTGTAGAATAATAGGCAGAAACAGTGCAAAATATATTTAAGATCAATCTTACAGTATCTCACTACAAAAAACATAGCATCAAAAGTACATGATCCTTTTTGTTGTAGATTGTATGTGAAGGAAAAAAATGAGAACAGCTTTGAAATCTCTAGAGAGTATGGAGAAGTATGTATGAGCCTTGTCAACCAAACAGTGCTTTCACAACTTTTGTGAGTGCAATTAAAAAGAAAAACATGTCTACAAGATGCATCACAAGAATTATGGAAGGTTAACCTGCATATTACCTGTCTTTCTTTATAATAATAAAGTCTTACAAATTTGAAATGGTAATAAACAGAGTGCTTACAACTGAGTTAAACTCAGAAGCACCAAGCGCGAAATCTCAGTCCATACTGCTAGTGAGTAGCATCTATCTATCCCCAAGTATGTGAGATTTTTCCTCCAAGACAGTATATTGAAAGATTAGGTAGTATCAGATAAAAATATTATTATTTTATTTTGTAATTTCATTGTGTGGGGCTGGGACAAATCTGTTGCCAGCCTGGGTTTTTATTCCATGCATTAGATTCAGAAGAGAAGAAAGCAAGATGAGGAAAAGCCCATTCTTCATGCTTATCTCCTTCCTCCTTCAAGCCATCTTTTTAATGCTTCCATCAATACCACAAATAACACTGGGTGAAAAGCAATTGCCTATTACTTGTCACTTTTATCTGGCAAAAGAAAGTCTATGTATTTTTAGTAATTGCCCTACAGGCTGAAGTGCTAAACCATGGATCAAACTAGACATGACATTCAAATGCTATTGCATTTAAAGAGCAAACAGAAAAATTCAAATAGATGGACATTTGAATAAATAGCAGGTCCTTAAAGAGGTGCTCTGGAAAAATAAATTCCATCATAACTTCAGCAGGTATGGAATATATATATATATATATATATATATATATATATATATATATATACTTACGTGCTGTGATTAATAACTACTAATAAATGTCAATAGCAGACCCTCTGGTAGCTGTTACATATTTATAGTTAGCAACAGAAAGAGCTACCACTGACAATAACAGCAAGGAATTATTTAGCATCATGTCTATTTTGACCCTAACAAGTGCTGGTTTACACATGATACTTTTAGCTGTACATTGAAGATGCAGTATGAATCAGGGACCCTACAGTTCCCTATAAGGTACTTATCCACTCAGTGGCAAATCTGATATTTACCCTTATATAATACGGAAAATTGCTGATAAGTTAGAGCCAAACTGTCCAAAAAGGGACATACAAAAGAAAATTTTGCATTGACAAAGGCTGTGCTTTCATGAAGGTGAAGTTGCTTTCAAAAGTTTTTATAATATATATTTGTTCTTCTTAATTTCTTGTTCATTCAAAGAAAGAAGTGAGCATGACCACATTTCATGACATCCTGTGTCCAATACACAGATCAGATATAATCAAAAATTAAGAATCACAAACAAAGATACGGTAGAAAAATGCAAAGATATGGATGCAGGTCATTTGGACCCAAACCTTCAGTGGTGTGTAAGTATGATGACCTTGTGACACTGATCATCAGGACTTCTGGTTCAGTCTAAGGTGTAGGTGGTGGTTTAGGTGATGAACAAGATCCTTGACTGTCAAAACTGGTTGCTCGGCCTGGCAACTAAAAAACAATCAGAACATAAGAAGAGCCTTTGTAGATCGAGACATCTATCATGTTAACACTATGCACCTGAGCTCTGAACTGTCAACCATGCTAGCTGTGGGAGTCTAGGAGCTATAGTTGAGACAACTATGAGAAGCTCAAAGAGAACACAAAGGGAACAATCTTTTGTTGTTCTCCCAATAGTGAGTTATCCATAGTCATCTCCCACTTTGTACTGTCTTGCTATTGTTAACTGCTGCTTGATTTTGACTTATGGCAACCCTATAGATGAGAGACCTCCAAGTCACCCTATCCCCAACAGCTCTGTTCAGGTTTGACAAACTCAGGGCCATGGATTCCTTGATTGAGTCTATCCATCTGGAATATGGCCTTCATTGCTACTTCCTTCTACTCTAACAAGCATTGTTGTCTATTCTTGGATCTCATGTCTTCTCACGATATGACCAAATATGACCGGATCAGTTTAGTCAATTTGGTTTCTAAGGAGAGTTCAGCTTTGATTTGCTTTAAGACTCATTTATTTGACATTTTTGTAGTCCATGATCCCTGTAGAAGTTTTATCTAGCACATTTTGAATGATTTGGGATTTTGTTTTTTGCTTATCAGCTTTCTTCATTGTTCGGCTTTCACAATCAGACATAGAAATGGGATATACAAAGGCATGGACTATCCTAATGTTAGTATTCAATAATATATATTTACATTCCAGGATCATTTCTTGTTCTTCCATAGCTGCCTTTCCAAGTTCCAATCTTCTATTCTTTTTGGGTGTAGTCTCTATTCTGACTACTGACTGAGCCAAGATATGGAAAATCCTGAAGCATTTCAATTTCTACTTCCCCATTAAAATTGTCTAAGTAAGAGGGTATCCTGGCATTTATTGGTAGCAGGTTCCAAGAATTAACTATGTGTTGTGTGGGAAAAAAGTGCTTTCTTTTTAAAGATATTATCTATTGGTTATATTTTTACCAGTGTTTTCTCTAATGAGCAAGATTGTTTGTATGGCTCTGTTCCTCCATAACTTTGTGAGATATGTAAAGCTAACAGTGTGTAACTGGTTGAGGAATACCAAGTGAGTTTCATGGCTCAATGAGGACCTGGGTCTCCTCAGTTCAGCGTTATTCCAAATCTCAGTCCAACCTCATGCTGGCTTTTGTTTAGTCTGTGCTACTATTTAATTTGATTTGATCAACATTTATTGGGTTTGAATTTTTACTGTCAGAGAAAGGTACCAGAGTGTGGTTAAAGTTGTTGAACCAGAAGATCAGTATCAACAGGTTTCATATAGCTGTAGATTAGGTTTGTAAATCTTCAAGTATTTTCTCCAAGAAAAATTATGTCATTTTGTGTGCAGAATATAGCAATTCCTCTGCAATAGTTTAGGATGTTTGAATAGTGGGGAAAAAATTATACAAGAATATCACTCATTCTTCTTGCTAAAATTTTTACAACACTCAGTAAATTTGCTTTTTAAAAATCCTGGCAATGAATAATAATGATTTTTTCCAATCCTTGGTTCAGTTTTTTTCTTAATATTTTTACATGATCTACCGAAGCCTTAAAAAATCAGTCCACCTTGACTGGGCTTCTGCTTTTGAAAAATGCTGTTTCCCCCACTTTCATTTACTTGAATGTGCATTCACTTGGGTGGAGAATCCTAAAGAATCTCAGAAGATGCCTTCATCATTGTGTATCTAACTACTGAATATCATCATACACTTATCAGGCATCTTTATTTCTTCACTAGCCATTACTCCCATGAGAGGGGAGAAAGGAAAAATGATCCTTTGTCAGGATGTTTAGTTGTTGCATGAGGGAGAAAGAGAACTTGGATCTCTGCATCATCAACAACCAAAATCACTGGCATATGTCTCTGCCTGATTATGTCGCTACTAGAGTCCTAGCCAGTAATTTCTCAATAGGTGGGTGCTCCAATACTCTTACCTCTACTAAGTGATGCCAGTGGGTTATAGGCTTCCGGGGATATGCCAGCATTTCATTCCAGTGGTCTCTTCCAAGTCCATCTGCATCAAGTCCAGTCCTGCACACTCCGATCACCTCATTGTGTCCTACTCTGAGATTGAAGAAGGAGAAAGGATTTTTCAACCTTTATCTACAATCTGCTCTTGTGTGTTTGAAATTTGGAGTGGAGCACCCGAAATCAACAATAAGTTAAGCTAGGTTTTGTGAATAGAATAGAATAGCTTTTTTGTGCACACAAAACAATTCACTCATCCCTCCATACCACCATCACCACCACACAGCCCCCAATGCCACATCAATGTGAAACCACAGAGTTCAGCATAGCCACAGCTGTATGATGACAACTATCTTTCAATCTGTTTGTCCTTGTCTGTGTCACAGAAAGGACAAACAGACTGAAGGATAGTTGTTATCATATGCCGGGTGAGATGGATCCCTAAGAATGCTCTGAGCTTTATTAAGGCAGCGGGAATTATAAAGTTTTTTCAACAAGGGGAGAGGGCCTTATTTAGGTATTATGACATATTTGAAGTTATGGAAACTGAACATTCCTCTAATGACTTTACTAGATATAGTGAAACAGTTATCTCAAGCAAGACATGCTGGGAGCAAGAGTAAAATGGTGAAGGCATATCTGGGTCTACCATGTGCTCTGCTCTATGCCCAGTGTAAGCAATCCTACTGCTTTCAGGACTGTCTCATTATCAGCGTTGAAGTAAGACAACAACCAATCTGATTGGATTTAAAAATGTAAAAAATTTAAAAAGTTATTCTTGAGGAACAGAACACCACAATTTAAGGGGAAGGGGACTCTAAGGATGGGTCTATACTGCCATATAACCCAGTTTCAGAATGCAAATTAACTTCATAGAACTGGATCTAACCCACATAATAAAAACAATCTAGCAAAAAACAGAAAATCTCTAGTAAATGAACCTACCGGTCATAGTCCATAACAGCAATGGAGAGACTGACTTGGTCCACATTCTCTGGAGGGATGTCAAATACAATGGCCTCATTGTATACTGGATTGAGAGTGTTCTTTTTAATAGTTGTTTTCCTCTTTTTCAGTCGTCGCCCATCGCACATGAGGGATACTTTGACGTAGGGATCTGAGATTTGAAGAAGGGAGTTTAACAAGTGGAAATAAAGTATGGGAGTACATGGCCACAATAAAACATCATTTGGCAAGTGACCAAGCCCTTCATATGCACTGGAGGTGAACAACAAATCCGATGTTCTAAAGATCAACACCATAGGAACCCGATCCACGAGCCAGGGAAAACTGGATGTTGTTATTGGTGAGATGTCAAAGCTACCTTGAAATGACTGGCTTGACTTTGAAGGAACTGGGGGTGGCCACAGGCGACACGTAGCTCTGGCATGGGCTGGTCCATGAGGTCACGAAGAGTCAGAAGCAACTGAATGAATAAACAACAACCTCCATATGTGGGCATTGGCAGAATGATATTCTGGTATCCAGAGCACCATCGAACCATTGCTATGTTATGGATGGCTGCCACATTTCATTATGTTCATGTTTTGGTTATTTCCTTTGAAGCTCCAGTGGAGAGAAGATATCCATAAATTCTGTCAGGTTTAGAGAGAGATATAGAAGCTAATGATACGATTTAACCTCTTTAGAATGACATGGAGTCAAGAATCACTGAAACAACCAAGTTTACAAAGAGCATCACATTATTAAGGTTGCTGAAAAACTAAGTGCTCAGCAAAGCTATCCAAATGATTCCTTCCACATTAGTGAATGAGCAACAACACATAACAAGATTTTTAAAAATTATATATTGATAGCATGCTATGTGTTTTGCACTACTCATAAAACCAATTTTATTCATGGAGTTGTCTTTATTTGGAAAACGATCCAGTTTCATGATTCTGCTTTATGATTTTTTCTTCAAGCCCAAAATCTCTGCTAAAGAGTGCCGGAGCTTCACCAAACTACATTTCTCATGATTCAATAGCACAGAACCACGGCAGTTAAAATGTCAAATTAGTTCTACATTCTTTGTCGATTTCCTAAGATGCATGGCCTGTTTCTGTATAGTTTCTTTCTGTGTATCTTTTGAGTAAATGCAAAATAAAAAGTGATAGTGGGATCAAGAGGTTAGAATCCCCAAACAGAACCCTAACAAATTATTTAGGCCCTACTGACTGTAAAGTCAACATCAAGTGCTTTAAAATCCCAATATTTCCCCATGTATTTAGAACATGTGGGGTAAGTTGGAAGGTATGTGATCACCTGATGAGCCTGTGATGTCCATCGCTTTGAGATTTCTGCATTTGATGACTGTGAGGGTCATTCTCCCTGCTGTAGGTAAATAACAAAGGGAAAACATGATCTCCCCCAAATCAACACTTTCCTGGAAAAAAAAAACACAGAAGAAAAATATGTTACAAATACAGTGCGATATTAGAAACCAACCCTTAAAAAACAGTCATGTTCTGAAATATTGAAACATGTAAAACTTAAGACACAATAGTTTTGATCATTAGCTTTCTCATGCCTCTTTTTTTTTTTGCTATATCATTTCTAGAGGTGGAAACTCTAGTCCTCAAATGGCCAGAGTTTCCATCTCTTCAGTGTAGCCAAAATATTTTGTTAAGTTTAATATTTCCAGGAAGGACAACCATTCTTGAAAATTGCCTCCAGCTCTAACCCCAATGTGATGTATGTATATATACAGAGATATTTCCCTTTAAAAATGAACCAGAATTAGGATGCATAGAAAACCCGCTCGGCCATGAAACCCACTGGGCAGTCTTGGACATGTTACACCCTCTCACATCCTCAGAGGAAGGCAATAGGAAATTTCTTCTGAACTATCTATTTATTTATTATTTCAAACATTTATATCCCATCCTTCTCAACTCCACGAGAGGGGACTCAGCGTGGCTTGCAACTGGCAACTATTAAATGCCAACAACAACAAAAGTCAAAATACAAAGCAAATTAACATTAAATAGACAATTAATTATAAATATACATTAAAATATTAGAACTTTAAAATATTAAAACATAGACAAGTCCAATCTCAAATCCAAGTCAGAGTCCAAAGTTCCAGTATGAGGTCTATCTATTATCTATTTCCATGAGTCATTGCAGTTATTGTTCAGTCAGCTGCCTGAACGCTTGGTTCCAATTTGACCTTTTTTCTAAAGGAAAGGAGAGAGGGCATCGACCTGATTCCACTGGAGAGTGTGTTCCATAGACAGGGGGCCACCACCAAGAAGGCCCTGTCTCTTGTCCTCACCAACTGTGCTTGTGAGGGTGGCGGGATCGAAAGCAAGGCCTTCTCCTGCTTAGAAAATCCTGTGATAGGGTTGCAGTAGGGTCACCACAGGTTAGGCATGACTTGAATGTACACAACAAGAAGGAGCACCAAAAGCCTTGAACATATTGTTTAATAGTCTAATATATTGCACTGTCCTTCTTAAAGAGATGCTAGACCTGAAATCATGTGATGAACACAAAAAGGTATTCATGTCAGAAATGTTTGGGACTAGAAGTCTTTTCCATTTTGGATTTTTTTCATATTTTGGAATAGTTGTATTTGCAAATATATACATAATGAGATATCTTGGAAATTGAGATCTAAGTCAAATCTTAAATTCGTTTATATTTCATATGCACTTTGTACACCTATCTTGTAGGAAGTTTATATAATATTTTAATAAGACTTTGCATAATCAAAGTTTCTGTATGTTCAACCACCAGCAAGCAGAAATGCCACTATCTCAGCCACTCATGAGGACAAATTTGAACTTCAGAGTTCCAGATATGGGAAATTCAACTTGTATAACAATTTGTTGGCCTCCAACAAATGACTGTTTGAACATTTACATTTCTGAACTGAGATTCAGATTTAGACCTAGAATGAATTCAATTAGTAATGTAATTGGAATTTATCCTACCAGCATAAAAGCAAAGGATTGGTGGAAAGAATCACAAGTCCTGTCTTACCTGAAATACTACCAAGCTTCAAATCACATTCAAATCAACTGCAGATGCATTTTTTTTCTGGCTAATTACAATTCAGCTAAATTACTTATTCAAGCACTCTCAATAATAAGTATGATTCTGTTTCGGTTGATTTACTCTAATTGCCCCACAAGCTAACACATGATATACCGGAGCTATAATCAGAGTCTTTTCTTTCCCCCTAATTAGTGGCCTTCTTGTCCTGTGATATGCATGCTTCCTTTTTTTGTTGCTTTCATTTTTACTTGATTCTAAAATTTAATGAAACATTTAAAGAAAAAGAAAAGCCTTTGCTCTCACAAATTATACTTGCCTAATTGAAGAAACACTGAGCCAGGTGTCAACCTTTGAAAGGAAGGCATAGGGAAAAATCAGAGCTTCGAAACCCTGGGGTGAAGGATGGGGGGTGGAAGGGAATACAGTTTCCAAATCTCACAGACAGAATCTAGGATACCCCAAGATATTTTGCTACTCAAGGCATAACTGTGCCTCATGTACAATCCAGGACTAGCCCTATGGAGAGCCAAATAAGTATTTCTATTTTTTTTATTTTTTTTATTGATTTCTAGCTAGCTTTTCTCTCATATGAAACCCAAAGCATCTTGCATTGTATTTTAAAACAAGAATGCTGTCTTCTGAGTCCTCACCTAAGATCTATGCCCCAATAATATTTTGAAACATAGATAGGCTCATAAAGGAAGATATGGTCTTTTAGACAGTTTGGACTCAAGCCATAAGCCATAACTAGCACTTTGAATGGTCAATGGTGTATCAAAGCAGGACCCCAGTACATTGGGGTGAAACTAAATATAACCTTGTCCCTCTTTCAACCTACTATGGTCCTTCATACAAGAAAAGTATGACTAGAGGTAATTCTTCATGATACTGGTTCTTTTAGATTAGGGCGAACAATCTCTGGGGAGCTATATTGACCATTTTGGAACCCCAGATGGTGGTGACATGACCCATACATTCATATACATGAACTCATACCCACATTCAGTTATTGACCAATCTTTCAATCTTCTTCAGAATCACTGGGAGGAAGCTGTTTTAAAGGGCCCATCCTCACACACCTAGAAGTGCTTCATCAAAACAGATGTTTTTCTGTTGTGATTTGGGCAACCGACAAGCACCCCATGGTTCCATGGGAATCATGAAGAGAAAAGTCTAAAGTTGCATGGATAATGTGTGCTGCTGTGTAAATGTGTGCTGCTGTGTGCTTCTGCATAAAACTTTTGTCTGGGACAGAATGTGTGCTGCTGTGTAAAACTTTCTTCCGGGACAGGTGTAGTATTACCAGGTGAAATAACAGAAAGGACGCCTCTTCCTTTAATGGTGATGTAAGTGGGCATTTCTGCAACTATTGCTTATTACATGTCTGAAAAAGTCTGAAATTTCTGAAAGCTGAAAGGTTCTAAAATCCTGAAATCTTACAGTTTTTTCTACAAGGGTTGAATGAAAAGTAATGCCTTCACCTTCGTAACTCAACAGATGGCAGTACTGGTATGCGGCAGATACTGGCTTGTTCAGTAGACTCTCCTCTACAGTTCCATTTTGGTGGGAAGCCTTAGCATTGAACGGTTGTGTTGTTAAAGTGTAAAGTATGGAACTCTGCGCAGACGGTTGGTCAGTGCAACTTAAGCAAGGTGCAGTCATTGAATTCTTGACAGCAGAAGGTGTCACCCCCAAGGAGATTCATTAGAGAATGCAAGCTGTTTATGGTGATTGTTTTGATGTGAGTACTATGCGTTGCTGGGTGAGTAAGTTTAAAGATGTTGAGGTGGGAACCTCTGATTGCATGACAAACAAAAACTAAGAGTTGGATGTCCTGTGACAGCAACCACCAAGTTTCACAAGCCAAAGGTTGACAGATTGATTCAGGATGATTGTTGTATCACTCAGAGAGAAATTTCAAGCATAATTGGCATTTCACAAGAACGTGTGGGTCACATTATAGCTTTGCTTGGCTACTGGAAGATCTGTGCATGATGGGTTGCAGAAACAGAGTGTCAACTTCTTCCGTGACAGCTTCAGAAAACATGTTCATTGTTGGCAGATGTGTATCCAATTGTCTAGTGATTATGTGGAAATAGTGGTAGTTAAAGAGTACATTCTAAAGATTATTTCTGCATTTGATTTACTAAAATATTCCCATCCAAACCCAAGTATTTGATATAATTGTTTGATCTTAAGATATTATCTAGTGACCTTATCAGATGGGCCACCGGAAACACCATACATCATGGAGAATCTGGCGGTGCCCATCTGGGGGCATGGGGAACCTGTCGCCCCATGCCCTGCATCACTTGACTCACCCAAATCCTCATCCTATGGGGGGAAGAATCGACTGCCTGGCTTCCCCCATTGTTGCTGGTACAACATGATATGCCTTCCATGTTGCCACCATGGTGGTATAAGCTGGTTCCGTGGTAATTTATCCACAGAGCCCCACCAGAAGTTCCTCTCCATTGTGGGATGAGATCCAGCAGGCTCTGTGGGTAAAGTATTGCTGAATGGGTGAATGCCGCTGATGTAAGCCCCATCTGATGAGGATGTCAGTGTGCAAACACTGTTTTAATTTAGGCCCGATCCTGATTCACATTCATGCAGGCCAACCAAATTTCCCCCAAGAGGAAAAACATAGGATAGAACTAAGTGGATATAGCGGTTTGAATATTGGACTACAATTTTGGAGAAAAGGGTTATGGAAATGCATTGGCTGACCTAGGACAAGTAATGATCTCCCAGCCTTAAAAGGAAGGCAAGGACAAACCTCCTCTGTACAAATCTTGCCTGAGATAGTGTCATGGAAACAACCTGAAGGCACACAACAACAACAGTGGTTTGACAGATGTCAATGAAAAGGATGAATATACTTAAGGCCATTAAGTATATTCATCCTTTTCACAACAATCAGTTTTAAAGCCAAACTTCTCTCTTAAAAAATCATTTTGGGTATTAATAAGTAAATCTATTTTACAAGAGAATATATTAGAAAATTTGTGAATGTATTTAATGGTCTTAGTGGGAAAATATAATCAAGATCTTGTAATCCTACTATTGTTTTTAATCATACCCTGTGGGTGATGAAATAAGCAGTAGTAAATATCCTGTGGTGTAATGTTAATTTTTGCATATGATGTTAAGTCCTTGTCAGCCTGTCTCCATTTTATTGGGAGACCTTCAAAACAGCTTTTGTTTGTGTTCCATCAGAGTCACATGAAATGCAAACAGAAGCTGCTAGGAGAAGGAAGAACGAGAGATTTTCCCCTGAAATTGCTGAGAAATGACTTGCCAGCTGGGAGACTGCTGAGAATGTGACAAAAACATTCCAAATATGTGCCAAAGAAACTGCAAGCAACAGTGGCATTTCCACTG